TCCTCCTCCTCTTTCTCGTAGTTTCGGGTGCCGATGTGCGACCATTTTTTGAGCTGGTTACTATCCATCCTGAACATCATACGTTGCTTGGCGTATCTTTCCTCACCATCAGTGGTTTAAGAAAGAAATAAAACCTGTGTCAATGTCAGTTATTGTGTCTCCTATTTGTCTCTCTTTTTTTTCGGTTACATGCGTCAAGAAAGACAAACACACCCTTAAAAGATGCGTAGCACTCTATGGAAGCGAACCCTTTTCTCTGCCCGGTACACATGGATAAAATCAACGTTTGGTTATTCCAAAGTTCCTCTGTGGGTCGGCTGGCGAGGGCATTCTAGTAATTCCTTCTCGTCAAACCCAACCGATGAAACCAACAACCACAACAGTAGGAATAGTCCTCATAATACTAATAGTGGCACTATTAGTACTGATACCACTTCTAATGTCCCTCCTTCCTCTTCAGATGAAGGGGCCTCCTCGACAAAGAGTGCAAAGACAATCCACATCTGCGTTCATTCCGTAGTGGAGTCCAAGACGAAACGGATTCAGGCGCCAGTGGGGATGACTTTAATGGAGGCGATTCGTGATATCGCGAAGTTGGATATCGAGGCCTCGTGCGATGGCTGCTGTGCGTGTAGTACCTGTCATGTCATCTTTACCACGGAAACCTACGTCAAACTTCGCGAGCCGCCAACGGAAGAAGAGTTGGATATGTTGGATTTAGCCCCCTCCGCGACGAAGTCCTCCAGACTTTCCTGCCAAGTTCGTCTAACGGAGGAGATGGACGGCATTGAGGTGTCCATCCCGGATGAAATGGAACCCTGAATGGGATGCGATAAGGATAAAAATGAAAAAAATGACGTGTGTAGAAAAAAGGGTATAGGTTCCAACGCTTTAATAAAATATTAAAAATAAATCTTCTTCAAAATGGAGTTCTCTCAATCTCTTCCATGGACATCATGTCTGTTGGCAACATGGGTTTCCCTTTTATTTTATTTCTTGTTCTTCTCTCTCCGTGGGAAAGAATGCGCGATCATAATTAAAGCATTTTAAAAACTGTCATTTTCTGGTAAATACAAACAAAGCTGTTATTAAGATTCACCGTCTATAAATTAAAGGAGAAAGTATCAAATATATTTTGCGTGTTAAGTTGTATTTGTAGTAACAGAAGGACCAAATTTTGCACTAAAAAGAAGAAATTGCTATACTATCCTTACTACAATCCCTAAAAAAAAGTGTTTACACAGCAAACACTAAAAAATTCATCGAGGCTTAATTTCAAGAGAAAGAGAGATTTTCCAAATGCAAAAATCAAACAGCCCACGGGATGACGCTCAGAAGACCGACTCCGTCGATTCCATCTCCGTTGTCATTCTATCTGAGATAATGTCAATCCCCCCTTCAGGCCCACTGGAGTCACCACAGGCGACGC